TATTTATTAAATATCTTCATTTTAAAACAGAAGATTTATAAGAAAAACCAGAAAATGTAAGATTTTGAATATATAAATTTATAATAGATGATCTATATATATAATTCTTCTTTTTTTATACATTTTAATTTTTGAATAAATTAGACATTATTTTTCATTTCATTAATTTACTTTTTTTTTTAAATAAAAATCAGCAAATCAGTCTCATTATAAGTGAGCAATTTTGAAAAGTATGTATTAAAATAAAAATCCTTTAAATAAACATGTTCATATATCATATGTAAATTTTTGGGGTTTGGAATTTAAGTTTTTCTTTAATTCAATTATTATTCAATATGAAAAAAAGACTCATAAAATATTTAAAAATAGAAGAACAAAACCTATGTATTTCAAAAAACATAAAGGCACCAGGTATTAAAATATATTCCTTTTCTTAGTTATTATTATAGCACATTGATGTTTTCTTTTTAAATTAAAATATATATATTTTATATATATCCCTTATGTATTCATATAATCTTTTATTTAAAATATTAGGCCAGTTTGAATACGCAATATTACAACCTCACAGTCTCAAATATGATGATTCCTCCTCTTAACTAATTTTTATTAAAAATTGATGTAAATTTATATATACATGATGAGAATTTTAAAAAAATTTTTTTTTATGTTTTGTGCATTCAGTAAAGGGAAGAAATTTCATTTTTTTTTCTTTTGTTCATGTTTCCAAATTATAAATAATATTAAATAAATAAATTAAAAAATAGATCTACAAAAAATGTTTTAAAAGGTAGAATGTTTAAAGAACATGGACAACAAAAGTGAAGATGTGGATGTTGTAAACATTACATAAAGTTTTAAAAATATATTATTTTTTCATCTTATAATTAAATTAATAAAAAAATTAAAAGAACATATTTTTTAAATCAATATTCTAGTAGATTCATTTTGGGGATCCAGAAAATCCATTGATTGTTTTTTTCATGTCGACATTTTTGCAAATGCATTTAAAGTTTTTATATATTAAATATTAAATGGATGCCTTTTGTTTTTTGTATTTAAATAATTTTAAATAAAAAATATTGCTCCTTTGTTTTTAACTTATAAGAAACATTAAGTCTTTTATTCTTTTAAAATTGTTGTTGCAACAAACTTAATAGAATTCATATGATAAATTAGATTAATTTTTGACCATTAAATCTAAAAAATGGGGGGAGAAAATAAATTTTGATTTGTTTTTGAATAATTCCTGGTTGAAAATTATTATTTTTAAATATACAGCCTTTTTTTACATTGAATATATCTTTAATTAAGCTGATAATTCATGTAAATTTTAATATTATTACAAATTCTTAGGGCTCTTAAATACAATGTAATTATTATTTAAATCTTTTTTTATTTTGAATCATTTTTTTGAACTTAAATTGTTCTGATATATATAAAAATATATATATATTTATATATATATATATATATATATAAGTATATGATTGGTGTATACGGAATGAATTCCAATAACCAACAATTACTATTCTTAAAAGAGTGCTCAATACAAAGTAGAGCAGATATAATTATTTATTTAAAAAAAAAAATTTATAACATAAATATGTTATAAAATCACTACAAAAATAGTCATTTTGTTTCAACACCCTCGGTGTCTTATCAAGTGATGATATTGAATATAAAATAAATGGTTTTAAAAGTTTCAAATTAATTAACGATCCTTCACTAGGGGAAAACATTGTTACAAAAGCTAGAATGACCAATCAAAAATACAAGTATAGGAAAATTCAAAAAAAGCTTGACAACGAAATCATGTTATAATAGCTATTCAGATCTTTAAAATATGGGTAATATTAAAAAAGAATTTATTCTAACCAATAATTATTAAATTATATGATAAAATTTAATATTAAAATTAAAAACTGCCAATTTTAAAATCCAAATTTAATCACTATTAAGTTTAAAACTATAAAATTTGAGAGGAGAAAAAAAAAAATATATGTTATTCAATTTATTTCTTCATTGAAATTACGTTAGATATATGACTAATGTTATATCCGGTCATTTGACAACATATATGTATACATTTTAATTTTAAAGTGTGTGAATGGGGTCTTAAAACTCACGTAAAAAACAACAAAAACACAATCAGATTATAATACATAAGCACCCATATATATTTATATATATATATACACACAAAAAAGTGACGAGACAGGAACATCTCCACAGGCCCTTTATGAAAAAAAAAACAAAAAAAAAACAAAAAGGGGAAACCAACACATACATACACAATTAAAAATGAGTGCACTTTCCATACACATAGACACCGATAAATACATGTACACACATCCACAGACAATGACCCAGACAATCAGATACCACAACCAATAAATATTTAAGACTGAAAGTATCATTAAACAAATGCTAACCACTTTATTAAATTATAATATTAAGCGAGCAAATATACAAAATAAAAAAATGATTAAAAATAATATTATTTAATATATTAAAAAACGAAAAATTCAAAACCCACAAATATCAATAAAACATATTTTAATCAGATAATATTAATAAAACTTTTATCATATATTAAGTGAAGGAAAATAAGATAAAAAGAACTACCTACAGAAATAAATGTACATTCATATACATACATACATACATATACATATACATATACATATATACAAAAAACATAAATACAATATACACACACACACACATATATATATATATATATATATATATATATACATAGAAATACATACATATAAATATATATAAACATAAATATATATATATTATAATAATATTTATACACATACATACATATATATATACACACATATATACACACATATATGCACACATATATCACATATATATAAATATATACACACAGCAATATACAAATATAAACATATATATAAACATTAATAACTCACATATGTAATGACATGAAAGTAATTTCCATACCTATTTCAGGAATACACAATCAATCATATTTTTAGGTAATCAACATACCCATATACAACCACAAACATACATATATAATAAACACACACACATATAAATATATATATATATATATATATATATATATACATATAAATATATACATAAATATACCTATCTATAATAATAAGTACACATATATACGTACATACACATAAATACGACATTCAACCAAATACATATATAAATGTATTTATTTTACATTCAACATCATCACTTGATAAGACACCAGGGGTGTTGAAACAAAATGGCTATTTTTGTAGTGATTTTATAACATATTTATGTTATAATTTTTTTTTTTAAATAAATAATTATATATATATATATATGTATTTAATTGTTAAAAAATATGTTCTGTGTATATAGTCTGGCCAATTTAGTTTCCTTTTGTTTATGCTTCCATCACTTTTGTTACTAATGAAATTGGCAAGACTATATATCCAAAACATATATATAACAAAAAAAATATAAAAATTTAAATTTGAAATTCTCAATGTCCCCTCTTCTTCAGGCACATGTGTAATCACATCAATGTCAACATCACTTTAGTCTGATGAAGTTCTAAAGGAAGAAACGTATCAAATGATAACTTTTTCCACTTTATCATAGTATTTTTCCTGGAAAACAGATTACATTAAAACATGACAATTGTTCCTTCTATTATTTAATGTTAAACTGGGCTTATGTTGAAACAATGGCTTCATTATGATCACCAAAATTAAGAAATGTTGAGCTTGATCAGTACCTAGATGGGTGACCACTTGGGAATACCAGATACTGTAAGCTTGGATGTGCTGGTGGTGTAATGGATAATGGCTTACAATTATTAATTGGAGAACTGATTTCCCGTATGATTATCGAAGTTAAGCAACATCAAGCCTGGTCAGTACCTAGATGGATGACTGCTGGGGAATACCATGTGCTGTAAACTTGGATGTACAGGTGGTGTAATGAATAATGGCTTGGAATTGTTAATCAGTGAAATGTTTCAATAAAAAGTTGGGTTTGTTATATTCAGTTAAGCACAAATACTTTTAGGAAAGATATGAACCCATTTCTTCCTTCCCAGCTATGGATTAATTAGTAAGACTTGTCACTAGACCATTATTATCTCAAAAAATAAAATTATTACAATCTAAAAATACTTTCTGGCTTTAAATAACTTGTGAGAGGCATGGTGCAGTAATGGATAGCGGCTCAGATTGAGGAATCGGAGAGCAGAGTTCAAATTCTAGTTGGATCCATTACATTCACTAACACGCAAATATTCTTGGGAAAGGTGTGAATCTATCTTTTCCCTCCAGCAGAACAGACTGAACCCTATAGCCTTCATTGGCAAACAATCTAGGAGAAGGAAAACTTTGAATTCAAACCACCTGCTGCTTTGTAGCTCTTGTTGCTGTAACTTCTGACAGGAGGGATGGGGCAATCTCAATATCACCAGTGCAAAAGGAACTGGCAAGCCACTGCACTATTCTACCTTGAATGTCACTATGAACCACAATTGTGAGATGGAGGGGAGTGCTGACCACAGTGGCCCAAAATGAAACTAGCTGAATAATTGATGAAATAAACTTGAGTTATTGATAATTAATCAATCTTAAAGTGTACATAAATTTTAATCTCATTTACTGTGATAACTGTTTATCTTTTCATAAAATAATAAAAGAAAGGAGAATGTGGTTTATCATATTGTATTCAATCTCTTTTTCTTTTACTTTAAATTTTCTTTTTATTTCTTAAAAGAAAAAATACAAAATATACAACAAGACTCCAGATTTAAAAATACCAAATAAAAGTAAATAAAATAAAAGTAAATAAAATAAAAGTAACAGTAAATAAAATAAAAGTAAATGAAATCAAATCAAATAAAATAAAAGTAAATAAAATAAAATAAAAGTAAATAAAAGTATGAAGATAGTTCTTGGTGAAGAAATAAAAGCAACAAGCTGGAAATTATCTTCTGATGATTATGATCTTTACACAGAATAATTTTTTATGAGACTGATAATATATAGTTGGTCTTCTGCATCCAAAGTATCAATCCAAAAACTTTCAAAACTGAATTTGGCATGATGCAGTTGGTTTTTGTTGTAAATCAGATCAGCCAGACATTTCATCCATGGACGCATTAACTTACAATGTCCAAGTTCTTTGAGAGCCAACAGAATTCTTGTGATACAGAGAAAATTGTGATTGTTCCTGAAAAGCAAGAAATGTACAATCTCAAAAATTGAAGCATGTTATAGGAAGCAAAAATTTTGTTTGCTTTTCATTTAATAATTACAAATAAAACGAAAAATTTAAAAAAAATATGAAGCATGTTATAGGAAAAAAATTTTGTTTGCTTTTCATTTAATAATCACAAATAAAACGATTCTTTAAAAAATATGAAGCATGTTATAGGAAGCAAAAATTTTTTTTTTGCTTTTCATTTAATAATTACAAATAAAACGATATAAAAAAAAAATATGAAGCATGTTATAGGAAGCAAAAATTTTGTTTGCTTTTCATTTAATAATTACAAATAAAACGATTCTTTAAAAAAATATGAAGCATGTTATAGGAAGCAAAAATTTTGTTTGCTTTTCATTTAATAATTACAAATAAAACGATTCTTTAAAAAAATATGAAGCATGTTATAGGAAGCAAAAATTTTGTTTGCTTTTCATTTAATAATCACAAATAAAACGATTCTTTAAAAAAATATGAAGCATGTTATAGGAAGCAAAAATTTTGTTTGCTTTTCATTTAATAATTACAAATAAAAATAAAAAAAATTCATTTATAAAAAATTTTGTAAATTTAATAATTGTTATAAGATGTTAAAAAAATTTGTTTTGCTTTTCATTTAATAATTACAAATAAAACGATTCTTTAAAAAAATATGAAGCATGTTATAGGAAGCAAAAATTTTGTTTGCTTTTCATTTAATAATTACAAATAAAACGGTTCTTTAAAAAAAAATTGGACATATTCTACCACCATATTTCTTCAAAAGTATTTTTAGTTTATTGAGTGCGGAACCATAGCAGAAACAAATATTGTGTAGGAAACGGGGTAAAAAAAATTTAGAATTTATCCTTAAATCATCAAATGGTTAGTTGCAACGTTTAAAATTCCTAGTATCTCTAGATTGGCAGAAATCATCTTTGAAATAATAGAGAACCGTCTGTGTTAAAAATGAAAGAACTTTTCTTTTTTTTTTTTTTTAATGTCTACAGGGGAAATATAGAATCATTAATGCAGGAAAAGAAAAATTGTTTTTTTTACTTTTTTTATTTGGGTCTGAAAAAAATAAAAACTACATGAACATTTGTAACAGGTGCTGAGAGAACGAGTTTGATGAACTTTAAGACTTCACTAATAATATTTCTTTGTGCTGTCCTTAGCAGCGATATCACCTTTTCAAATATCGTTATGCATTTGCTTTATCAATCTTCAATAAATTGGGTAAAAGTTTCAGCTGGATATTCAGCAGGGACATGTCTGCTTTAATAGTTTTTTTTTTTTTACTTTCTTGTATTTCTTTATAGTATTTTGTTAAAATAAAACCCCCAAAAAATAAAAATTGTAAAAATTTGTGAGAAGCCAAGGCCCCACCTTCCCACGGCTGCTACGACCCTAGAGAGGTAATTAAATTTATGTGGAGAGGAGAGACTACAAACAGTTTCCTCGAGACAAGAACAGGTGAAAATGTCCAGATTCTACTTACTTGAGTATCAGCCACTATTATATAGGACTTTATAACAAGAGCAACATCCATCACAGATCAACGTTGTTTTCATTCTTGAAAATGATATTTGATTTACTAAAACTTCTCTTTTAATTTAAAAACTTAGCAAATTCATAATTTAACAACTTTCAAGGTATTACGCTGTTTGAAGGGAGATAACTCAAAATATATTAATGCTAATTATAGAGTAGTTTCCCTTATTTACTTATTTGCAAATATTTCATGGATTTAAAATATAATAAGTGCATATTTCTCTGACTGTCATTGTAAAACAGCAAAAACAGTACATTGTAGAAAGAATATTGTTAATGTCTGTCTATATTTCTGAGATGAGGTATTATGTACATTATTTACATTATTCGGACTATTGTCCTCATCTTTGTCGCCATATTTATTACAACGTTTTGGCTGTTGTACACTCCGGCCTTCTTCAGGTGGTTGGAATGTCGAACTGAACCCTTTATTTCGCTCACTGGGGTAGACTCAAGGACACATGGCACAGTGGATAAAGGGGTTGGTTAGATCCAGTGACAAGACCCAAAGAGTGTGAGTTCAATACCCGGTTAAGGTAGTCGAGAACTTTCAGAGGGAAAATTAACAGGAGATAACTGATAGCTGACATCCATCAAACATGGCACGTGGAACTAGAACAGTCTACCCCAGTGAGTGAAATAAAGGGTTCAGTTCAACATTCCAACCACCTGAAGAAGGCCGAAGCGTACAACGGCTGAAACGTTGTGATAAATATGGTGACAAAGATGAGGACAATAATCTGAATAATGTAAATAATAGTGTTAATATCTGTCTATATCTCTAAGATGGGGTATTATGATTACTTGCATTATTTATATTATTCAGGCGGTTATCCTCATCTTCTTTATCATATTCACATTTCGGCCTTCTTCAGGTGATTGGAATTTAAAACTGAACCCTTTATTTCGTCCATTGGAGTAGATTGTTCTAGTTCCACGTGCCATGCTTCTTCCGGAAATCTCAGTTATTTCCCTTTTAACCCAACTCTCCGAGTTTTGGTTCACCACTGCTGTGGCCTGGTATTGAACTCAGAAGTTTTTGGGTCTAGTCACTTAATCTAACCAATGTCTTTATCCACATTGTGAATATGGCAATGAAGATAAGGATAACAGTCCGAATAATGTAAATAATGCAGGAATGTTTTTTGCTTAATATAATGAAAATTTTTCTGTAGAGTTTAATTCAAAAAATAATTATAGTATTGGATCTGGATTTGTGATCACCCCAATAATTTTTTTTTTTTTAAAAGCGTTTCACCCCAAGCCATTAGCATGCAAGGGGTTACAGAGAGTTAGAGCAAGAGCAAAGAGGAGTGATAGAGGAAAGGATGAAGAGAAGGATAGGGGATAGATCAAGGCATCTGGACACGTCGATTGATATTACATTTGAATAGTTGGATATAATATGATTTTTCATGGTTAATAACTTGAAGTATTTAAAAGGAAATTTAAAGAGAAGTTTCCTTATGATTTTATTTGAAAGCAATCTATTTTATAAAATAATGTGATTTTATTTGAAAGCAATCTATTTTATAAAACAATGTGAACAGCAAAAGCAATCTATTTTATAAAATAAGCAATATTTGAAATTATTTTATAAAACAATGTGATTTTATTTGAAAGCAATTTGAAAGATAAAAACAATGGTTTTTTATTTCATAAAACAATGTGATTTTATTTGAAAGCAATCTATTTTATAAAAAATGTGATTTTATTTGAAAGCAATCTATTTCATAAAACAATGTGATTTTATTTAAAAGCAATCTATTTGATAAAACAATGTGATTTTATTTGAAAGCAATCTATTTCATAAAATAATGTGACTTTATTTGAAAGCAATCTATTTTATAAAACAATGTGATTTTATTTGAAAGCAATCTATTTCATAAAACAATGTGACTTTATTTGAAAGCAATCTATTTCATAAAACAATGTGATTTTATTTGAAAGCAATCTATTTCATAAAACAATGTGATTTTATTAGAAAGCAATCTATTTCATAAAATAATGTGACTTTATTTGAAATAATTATATTTATAAAACAAAAATTTTTATTTTTGAAAGCAATCTATTTTATAAAACAATGTGATTTTATTTAAAGCAATCTATTTTATAAAACAATGTGATTTTATTTGAAAGCAATCTATTTTATAAAACAATGTGATTTTATTTGAAAGCAATCTATTTCATAAAACAATGTGATTTTATTTGAAAGCAATCTATTTTATAAAACAATGTCATTTTATTTGAAAAGCAAGAAATTAGAAAAAACAATGTGACTTTATTTGAAAGCAATTATTTCATAAAAAGAATGTGACTTTATCAAAAGCAATCTATTTCATAAAAGAATGTGACTTTATTTGAAAGCAATCTATTTCATAAAACAATGTGATTTTATTTGAAAGCAATCTATTTCATAAAACAATGTGATTTTATTTGAAAGCAATCTATTTCATAAAACAATGTGACTTTATTTGAAAGCAATCGTTCATAAAATAATGTGACTTTATTTGAAAGCAATCTATTTCATAAAATAATGTGACTTTATTTGAAAGCAATCTATTTCATAAAATAATGTGACTTTATATACTTAATTATCATATAACATGATTATTCCTTCTTAATAACAGAATACCTCATTAACAATTATCTGAGACCAGACTGCTAATAAATTTATTTTTATTTCTATGCATTCACATTAGGTTTCTTTGGATATTTTTACTTTTAATGATTCAAAAACTAAATTTTTTCTTGAATGCAAAACTAGTGTTGTATAGATGAAAATTCTAGATTACTCACACAGAACATCAACAATACAAATACAAGATTACTTAAATATGGCAACATTTTTTGACAGTATGTGTTGTGTCAGCTTTCTTAGAATATTTTATTTTTAAAGATTTAAAAAGCAGAATTCTTTCTTACCTGTGACAACAGAATTAGTTACGTAGATAAAAATATAACCAATACAATTGCAAAATTACTTAAATATGGCTGCCATGTTTCCTTTAATGTCTTGAGTCATGTTAGCCGTTTTATATATTTTTACTTTTAATGACTTAAAAAGCAGTATTCTTTCTAACATAAAGAAATAGAAATAATTTTATAGAGAAAAATCTTGCTCAAGCAGAAAATATAACCAATACAATTGCAAAAAATACTTCAATAATACAGCCATTTTTCTTTTTATGTCATGGTTCATGTTAGCCTTTTGAGATATTTTTAATTTTTATCACTTAAAAAAGAGAATTCTTTCTTATGTGTGACAATAGAATTAATATAAAAATCCTACACAGGCAGATAATATAACCAATGCAAAATTACTTAAATTAGGTTACTGTTTTTTAAATGATATGGGGAAACTAAGTATATAATTTTTATTAATATAAAGGGATTTGCTATTAAACTTAATTGTTTCTACATGCAGTCTTTAAGAAAGTATTACATAAATTATGAAACAATCTTATTTACAGTGTCCTGGGTATGATGATAAAACTACATCCATGTCCTGAGTAAGACGATAAACTACATCTATGTCCTGGGTAAGACGATAAACTACATCCGACAGCAAGGCCTCTGATCAGGAGGTTTTGAGGAGCATAGAACCACCTCTTAATTGCTGGTGTTCCCAGGTCAACTCTAACCTGGAGTGGTAGCACCTGTTAAGGTCTTAGCTATGGGCAAATAGTTGACCCCCCGCCACCAAACTGGGGTCAAAACACCATGAAAGTGTAAAAATAGGTTTTAATACAGCAATACTTTTTTGTAAAAAATATTACTATCAATGAGTTTTGTAAGGAAAAAATTATTACCAGCAATACATTTTTAAAAAACTTATCACCAGCATTAAAAATCTTGTCAGCATTAAATAACCCATTGAGGCTGATATGCCGTAAAACAAAACAAACCAAACCAAACCAGCAATAAAAATCTTGTCGGCATTGAATAACCCATTGAGGTTGGTATGCTGTAAAACAAAACAAAGCAAACCAAACCAGTCTGAACAATGTAAATAGTGTAAATAGTTGAAATACTTCGTCTCAGAAATAGAGACAGATGCAGAAGATGAATATGACAACAAAGATGAGGAGAAAAGTCTGAACAATGTAAATAGTTAAAATACCTCATTTCCGAAATATAAACAGATCCTGAAGACGGCCAGAGTGTACAACGGCCAAAACTTTGTGAATATGGCAATAAAGATGAGGACAACAGTCTGAACAATGTAAATAGTTATAATACCTCATTTCAGAAATATAGTCAGCTCTTGAAAAAGGCCCGAGTGTACAATGGCCAAAATGTTGTGAATATGACAACGAACATGATGGCAACAGTCCGAATAGTGTAAATAGTTATAATACCTGGTCACAGAAATATAGACAGAAAATGAATTCTGGTATTAAATGAATCATAGAATCACTATTCTAATATTAGTATAATACTTGCTGTATACCTTTTTTGTAGCTCCCTATATTTGCCTGTTTTATGTACTTATGAATATAGAGACATTTCTTTTGTTAAAAGTATTTTTAAAACCCATCTTCATGTCATGGTTAATCTCAATGCAGCCATGAAAGAAGGAAAATGTCTGCAGTATTTCAACAATTCAAAAAAATTTAAATATATTTTTTTACTTCATAAAAACTAACCAGAATTTCTACATAGCATTTTCCAACTTACATTTTGTTAAGTACTTTTAATCTCTTGTTAGATCCTTTTTTCACTTGAATCTGGTTTTCTTCAGTAAGTTTCAGGCCATAAAAGTCCAACATCATCTCGAAAGATCTTTTCACTCTGTTTCTCAATTCTGGGCTCTGCTGAAATATCTAAGAAAATTTTTTTTAATCAGTATCATCCCATGTAAGGTAGTAAAGCCACTAAGACACAAGGAGTTACAAAGTGACGAAGAATTAATAGAAAATTAATAATAGAAAGAGAAAAGAGTAAGTGTCAAGCCATGCAAGGCAGATTGAAAACCATTTAAGACCCAAAAAAAAAACACGAAACATGGAAAATTAGGAACAGAAACATTGATAAAATTTGAAAGAGAAAGTTAAATAATCAGTGTAAACCTCATCCAAGGCAGTAGAGTTTAAGAAAAAGATTTACAGGATGTGGAATTTGACCAAAGAAAAGTAACATTAATAATGAGCAGAAAAGAAAAGAGTAATCAGTGTCACCCCAAAATGCAATAAATAAAACCACTAAGAAGTTTCAAAGTTACATGAAATATGGAAGAAAGAATTATTATAAACATTAATAACTAGCAGTATTTGGCATTAAAGACAAAAATTTATAACAGTAAGAGATAGATCAAGTATCCACCATCATAAAGACTGAAAAATAAAATTGACAAAGATTATTGTTTAAGGTTGACAGACACGCATGTTTTAATTATTTTTTTTTTTTACGAATTGGTCAAACCCAAACTCAAACAAAAACATTGTTTTCAATCGTTATGAAATCTACCGATTGAATAGAATTTTATTATAAACAATTGTCTTGTAAATGGAATTTTTAAAGCATTCTGAATGTAAAAATAAAAGAAAAAAGAAAAAAGACAATGAAAACACTACATGCCAAAAAAAAAAAAAAAGTTGAAGTTTTTGTTGAAATCGGTTGAAAAATGTAGGTAGCCTTTCTGTAATCTTTTAGTTTTACAATTTATGATTTTTACTTATTGAATACAGTAAAAAAATTGCATATTTTGCTTGTGGTGATTCATAATTAGAATTTGATTTGAATATATTTTCCACTCGTTGTTTCTAATAAAAAAAATATTAACTTTATTTGGGTTTATTAATTATGATCTAACAAATCTTATTCATTTAGTAGCCTTTCTGTAATAATAATCTTTTTAAAATTTATGATTTTTACTTATTGAATACAGTAAAAAATTGGACACCATGTGTATTTAAAGTAGTTTCCCATTCCGGTTATTATTTTTAGTTAGGACTTATGTATGTTTAGATTTCATTATTTTTCCTAAAGAAAAAGAATTTATTCTGATGTTTGTATTCGTACAATCAGTAGAGATCGTTAGATTATTGTTTAAGGTTGACGGACAACGCATGTCTTAATTAATTTTTTTTTTTTTTTTTTTTTTACGAATTGGTCAAACCCAAACTCAAAAAAAACATTGTTTTCAATCGTTATGAGTCTCCCAATTGAATAGAATTTTATTATAAATAATTGTCTTGTAAATGGAATTTTTAAAGCATTCTGAATGTTAAAAAAAAAAAAAAAAGTGCAAGAGAATAAGAAACACTAAAAAAAAAAAAAAAAAAAAAAAAGTGAAGTTTTGTTTTATCGGCTGAAAAATATAGGAAATCCGATCCCATATTTAAAGGAACCCCCACACACAAAAACAAACCCAATGTGAGTTGTCCCCTTCCATTTTCATGATGTGTTCTTAATCGTGTTTTCAAAATTGATTGAAAAAAAAAAACAATTATATTTTTCCCATTTTGGCGCTGTTAGAACCACCAATCAGGTAATTTAATTTTATGTAGTCCTGTGAAGTTTTGTTGAAATCGGTTGAAAAATGTTTAGAAATCCGATCCAATATATAAAAGTTACAGAACACACACACACACACACAATCAAAAATATTATTTTATAAAAATAAGATGAAAATAAAATAAAGAAAAGATGATAATTTTGACCCCAAATTAAAATAAAAATTTTTTAAAACCATTTAATACAAAAATTGAAAAAAGGGATGAAAATATTACCAGGAAAATGTTTTAGTATTTTTTGAATGAAAGAAGATTTTTGAAAATTAAAAAAGAAATCATTATTCAAAAATAAATAAACTAAGATGAAATAATTTTTAAAACTTTGAAATAATTGAAAAAAAATATAAAACCATGAAACATAAAAACATAGTAAATGGAAAGATTATGATTGTTTAATTTTTCTACTTAAAAAAGAAAAAATTTTTTTAAAATTTCTAAGAAACAAAAGATGAATTTTCACAAAAGGATTTTAAACCATCAAATATCAAGCATGATAACAAAAATATAAATATAAAAATTGAAATATAACAAAATTAGACATGTAAATCATTTGACAAATTTTAAAAAAATGAAATTTAGATATAACAGAAGAAAACACCATAATTCTTAAAAAAATCAGGGATTCAAAAAAAAATAGAAAATAGAAAATTTTAATCATTAGAAATTTTGTTTTCTTTTAATTAATTTCCATTAAAAATTTAATTTAAAATAAACTTTAAATGCAATTAAAGAAAAAATTCATAAAAATAATTTAAAACTAAAAGAAAAAAAACAAATATTGTATTAAATAAAACATAAAATGAAAGCAAAAAATTAATTATAATAATTTCAAAAAATTCCATAGAAAAATAAATAATTTTTTGATATAAAAAAAATTATTTTTAATTGGAAATAAAAAAAAATTCAGAAAGAAAATAATAATAAACAAAAAAAAGAAAATTTAATCATTATCACAATTTAAAATTAAAAAATAAAAAGAAAAAATGAATAGGAAATGTATTTAAGAGACTGCAGAAGAAAAAAAAGAAAATTGAAAAAAAAAGGAATAAAAATGATTAAGTATATGAAGAAAAAAAAAACCACAAGATTTAAAAGACAAATGTTAATGAGGATAAATGAAAGAAAATTTTAATTTCAAATAAAAGGCAGTAAAATTTGTTATTTTCAGGTTAAAATTTTTTACAAAATTGATATTGAAAAATAAGAAAAGAGAAATGAAAAAGCAAAAAATTTTTTGAGTTACATTATTTTTAGAAGAACAGAAAATTATTTAAATGGGAAAATGTTTTTCCAAAAAATTATATTTAGAAGGATCAAAAAATGGATTGAAAAAAAAGAGAAATTAATTAAAAAAGCAGAAAGAGAAAAATAATCAGTGTTCCCATTCAGATGAAAATATATAAAAAAAAAATTTTAAGTGAAAAAGAAGAATGCAAAAAAAAAAAAAAAATAAAAAAAAAATAAAATGAAAAAAATTAATAAAATCACCAAAAAAATTTTATAAAAAAGAAAAAAAAAAAAAAAAAAAAAAAGACAAATTTAAAAGAAAAAAAACATTGCAAAAAAGAATTGAATGGTATCATTTTTGAAGGCAGTAAAAACAACTAATTTTTAAATGGTTAATAATGGAATGAATTAAAAAAAAAATTAAAAATGAGCAGAAAGATTTTTTTAATTTTTTAAAAAACAAATTACCAGATGAATTTTAAACACAAAGAATTAAATGAGAAACATTAAGTTGCAGAAAAAATCTTAAATTTAAGAATTTTAAATATAACCAAAAATCTCCAAGGAGTTAAATTAAAATTAACAGAAACATTAATGAGCAATGAAAGAGAAAAGATTTTTTAATAAGGAAAGTAGATTAAATTGAACAGTTTTAATTGGAAGAATTAAAAGAAACATTTTTTAAATGAGCAGAAATAAAAAAATAGTAATTCAATTGTAAACCCTAAACATATAGATAAATTATAATTAATATTTAATAATATAGAAGAAATTTGAAATAAAAAAGCAGAAACTTTTTTAAATGAAAATTAAAACAGAAACATTAATAATAGCAAAGGAAAGAATTGATAAAAAAATATAATGCCACAAGAATAAGTTATCATGAAACATTAATAACATTGGCAGAAATGAAAAAAGCCATGGTAAGAAAAAAAGGAGTTATAAGACCCATGAGTTAAAAGAATAAGGAACAGAAACATTAATAATGAGCAGAAAAAGAGAAAAGAATAATCAGATACCCCAAAAAGGCAGTAAAGCCATTAAGAAAAACATTAATAATAAAGAAAATGGAAAATTATATATAAATTAAATTTATTAATAATGAGCATAGAAAATTAAAAAAATGATAAAATAAAAAAAAAAAATTTTTAGTAAAACCACTAAGACACAAGGAGTTACAGGGTGTGGAAGAATTAGGAACAGAAACATTAATAATGAGCAGAAAGAGAAAATAATCAGTGTCAAGTATGCAAGGCAGTAAAGTAATTTTAGAAAAAAAACATTAATAAGACACAAAAAAAAGTTGCCAATGTGGAAAAAAACTAAGAACAAGAAACATTAAAAATGAGCAGAAAGAGAAAAATGAGCAGAAAAGAAAAAAGTAATAGTTCACCCCATGCAAGGCAGTAAAAACCACTAAGAAACAATGAGTTAAGGATGTGGGAAGAATTAGGAATAGAAACATTAATAATGATAGAAAGTCACCCATTCAAGGCAGTAAAACCACTAAAAAGGAGTTACAATGGAAGAATTAGGAACAGAAACATTATTTGCAAGATTAATCAGTCACACCAGATCAGTAAAAACCAAAAACCAAGGATAAAACAGAATTTCAGGTTTATAATGAGAAGAAGGTAAAGAATTATGAGTAAAACCACTAAAAAGTTAATAAAAGAAAAGAAAAAAAAGAAAATAGTACCCCATTCAAGGCAGTAAAACCACTAAGACACCCAAGGAGTTATTTTAATTGGAAGAATTAGAACAGAAACATTAATAATGAGCAGAAAAGAAAAGAGTAATCAGTGTCACCCAAATTACAAGGCAGTAAAACCACTAGAGTGGAAGAATTAGGAACAACATTAATAATGAGTTTAAAGGATAAAAAATAAGAAGAATTAGAATTTGGAACAGAAACATTAATAATGAGCAGAAAGAGAAAAGAGTAATCAGTGTCACCCCATTCAAGGCAGTAAAACCACTAAGACCCAAGGAGTTACAGGATGTGGAAGAATTATGAACAGAAACATTAATAATGAGCAGAAAGAAAAAAAGAGTAATCAGTGTCACCCCATGCAAGGCAG